TTATCTTATACTTACAACAGTTCTTCAAATAATGTTGTCTATTCAACATCCTATATAATAAAAGCCTAATATGCAAGTCAATCGAATGGCGGAATGACTGGTCACTATAACATGCACTGACCACCAGGGGGCAGACACTCAATGCAGGAGCTTCCCCCAGCCCTCAGGCCCCAGACCAGCCAAGGCAGGTGCTAGCAGGCCCCTCTTGCCCCCTTCCCCCAAATCACCCTGCTGGTAGCCTCACAGATCGGCCCTGATCACTGGCCAGGCCTAGGGACCCTACCTGTTCATGAATTCCATGCACCAGGCCTCTAGTCACACACACACACACAAAAATAATTCACGTAAGGGCCACTATATGTGGGCATTCTCTGAGGACTCTGGTTTCCTCCCATATCCCACACATGAACCTATTAGGTGAATCAGCATGCCTAATTATTCCAGCCTGAGTGTGTGTGGGTGTGAGTGTGCCCTGGGATGGTAGGGCAGCCTATCCAGAGTGGATTCACCCTGACACCCTGACCTGTCACATGGGCTCCAGTCACCCTAGACCCTGAAGTGGAATAAGCAGAGTTGGAAAATAATGACCTTGGTTTTTTATTTTTATTTATTTATTTTTTATAAATCTTTCTTAAGTGTATATATAGTTCACATTTCAATGTTTAATGTTGGAAGTGTCTTAGGTCTTTATTGAGAATTTTAGTAATGTTTTTGTAGCCAGAAGTATGTCATAGGAACTTAACTCATATCAATTAGCCTAGGGTAACATTTCTTTTGCTATAAACCTTTTTGCTTAAAGTCACAGTTTCTAAGAAGCCAACAATGACATTAAATGAGGACTTACTGTATTTTGTGGCACTGTATTCAAAACTATGGTTCAGATTTCTATGGGCTCTGTCTTCCTAACAGTGTCTGAATCTCTCCCTTTCTGGTCTGTCTCCCCTGCAGTCTGATTTCCTCCTAGAGTATTTCTCACAATTAGGTTCCTATCACCTGCGTTTCTATTTAATTTCCCTCCTGCAAATTCATCCAACACATTGTCCTCAGCCTTTGTGTCTCCAGTCTGGCCCTCTTTTAATCTGCTCTTCAGATAACAATGACATCTTTTTAAAAATCTGCAGCTGCTGGTTAGAGTAGGTAAAATGAATACCTGGGATCCCACTACTGTATTTATTTCTAAGTGTTCCTTTACGAAAAGAGAGTGAAGGAAAACACCAGTGAGCAAGAGAGTTCAGTAAATATTTTGAAGGTGGAAAGTATATAAAAACACACCAAAGGGAACAAAGGTGGCCAGAGGAAATGGAGGAGGCAGCTGCAGCAGAAGAAGGCTCAGAGGACAGAGAGAGAACATCTACAGGTGCCTTCCTTGTGTCCTCTGCCCATGTCTACAGCTCAGGCAACCCAACTTGAACCCCTAGGTAGGGGGAACTCGGAAGAGGCCTTCTCTAAAAACATTAAATTCTGGATAGTGCTGGAGTTTCACATGTGGTTAAATACATGGTGGTGGCACCTCAGAGAGAATCATATTTGTTCCAGCATTTGAGGGCTCTGCACTCCAATGTAGCTCCTGCCAACTCAGTCTTGAGAGACTATGTATTATGTATTTGGTGCACAATGGCTTGATATATATATATATATATATATATATATATATATATATATATATATATATATAATTCTAACCCATTATCTGCAGTAATCAGCCCTGAAAGCCAGCCTGCTACCTAAAGGTCAGACTTACAGGAAGTTAGGCCAGTATCTCTAGCAACCAGCCCAAGAAGCAAAACAATAACCCTGCTAACAATTAGTCCCATAAAGCCAAGACTTGATTAATAACTGACAGCTAATTTTTAATCTTTGCTTCCAACCGAGGACCAACTAGAGAAAGCCAAAAATGCATCTCTAATCCATCACATAGGATGTCTGTTTATGGTTACCTGCCTACAGCTTCCCCATGCCAACAGCCTCACAAAAAAAGTTTCCCCCCTTACTCTGCCTGAGTCTCTGCCAAAACACACAAAATGGTAGCTGACTCTCTTGTTAGGGAAGCTCTGAGTAAACGGCTTTTGCTTATTCTCGTTTGGTTGGTCTTCATTTATTTCTATAATCTGGAGCAAAGTCTTCTAGCCAACAAGCCCTACAGAACTCATCAGCTTTGCTAGTCAGGGGAGAGAACCCACATATATAACCATGGAGGACTCCTATAGCAGCTAAATAGGAAAATCAACCCAGTCCTCACTCAGAAATATGGACTCATGGCCAGGTCACCAGACACAGAGAAAACCAGCAGCCCTCAGGAGAAGATCAAGATAAACAGAACAGATTGACCTTGGAGGAGACAGGCCATTCAGAGACTAGAAACAAGCTTAAAAAAAAAATCTAATTAGATTTTCAGTGAGATTTTAGAGATATTCATAAAACTGAAAATAAGGGAATGAAAAATAAAAAGGCTCCTGGAAATTAAAAGTGGATTGCCTAAATTAAAAAGATAGGAAGATTAAGTTGAGAAACTAACAAAACAAATAGAATAAACACACACACACACACACACACACACACACACACACACACACAAAACCACACCCCAAACTCCCTTTTGCAACTTTTGAAAGCTAAGTCCAGATATAGTTAAGAGTGGGTGCCTCTGGGCAGGGGCCCTGGGCCCAAGGGCTGGCTGGCTGAGGCTCTGTTGCTCTGTGTTAGGCATAAGTATTTTAGTCATGTGCATGGGTCACTCTGATTTTTAAAAAAATAACTGCAAATCTGAAAGTTTCATTCCATTACTTAAAATCCATCACCCCTTCCAACCACAGCTGGGGAGCGAGTTCTTTCCTGACCATGCCCGGCCTCCAGCCAGCCTCCATCAACCCTTCGTCAGCCCCATTCAACAACTTACCAGGATGCTTGGTGTAAGCCTTATGAGCTGGGAGCCTGGGGTCAGGCTTACTTGGTTTCAAACTTACATAGGCTTCAGTCCTAACTTGGAAAATGGGCGTGTGGGAGTGTATCTCAAGGCTTTGTGAGGCTCCAACAAGCTAATAATGCATGTTAGGAGCACAGCAGAGCCCAGGCTCAGAGTAAGCAATCAATAAATAGGAACAGTTATTAGGGCCACCAGAACTACTCTGGTTTTGTCTCAATTTTAACCATCTTTTGACTATTTTTTTAAAATATATTTTTATTGATTTCAGAGACGAAAGAGGAGAGATAGAAACATCAATGATGAGAGAATCATTGATTGGCTGCCTCCTGCATGCCTCACACTGGGGATCAAGACTGCAATCCAGAATGTACCCTGACCGGGAATTGAACAGTGACCTCCTGGTTCATAGGTCAGGTGCAGTTGACTCACCCACACCAGCCAGGCTATTTTTTTTTTTTTTAAATATTTATACCTAAGAATACTAAACAAAGTGATTAAACACTCAGCTTTCTTACCAAGCATACAACCTCAGACACGTCATACAGTGCTTAAGAAATTTTACTTACATATGTTTTTGAAGCGACAATGTATTAAGAGCAGCTAAAGGTTCTGCTTCATCTAATTCATGCCTTGGGAACACAGGTGGTTTTGTCTAACATCTTCTTTCTGTTCTCAATGAAGTGACCCTTCTTCCGCAGGGCTTAACCATCACCGCCTTGTGAGGCCTTCCCAGGACCCCGCCCCTCACTCTTGCAGACTTCTGGAGAAATGCTTTGCCACCACCACTGCTGTGTGTCCCCTCCTCCAGACCCTGAGCACTCACTTGGAAAGAGCGCTCTCTTGCTGGTTTTAGGACCCCAGTGCCCTCACCACAGGGCTTGCTCCATGGAGGAGCATGTGCAAGGTGAGCGTGGGAGGAACGGAGGTGGGAGTCTGACTGATGAGCAGGGTTTGCTGGTGCCTGGCAAGAATGAGTCGTTGTTAGAAAAGCCAGCCAACTCGGGTGCAGAAGCATTAGAAGCCTCTCTTCATCAAAGAGAAGGTTGAGGGGAAGACAACACCTGTGCTGGGAAGCTACTGGGCTTCAGGCTCCAGAAGGTTCTGAGCGGGCAGTGGGCTGCCAGTCCACTTACAAAGGGGATGTCAAGGGCACCTGACTCTGCGGTCTTGTTCTTTGGGACACGGGACTGCCTGAGAAGCACAGACTATATCCCCACAGACAGTGGCACTGGCGTTCCCATTTCCTTTTTATAAGTGCAAAGCATCTGGTCCAACTACCTCATTCCTCTCAGCAGAGAGAGGAGCCCAGACAGTCTGAAATGAAGGTGAGAGGACTTGCCAAAAGTCAGAAAGGAAAGCTGGATCAGGACTCAGGCTTCCCATGGTCCAGGCTGTGCTGAGGGAAAGCTGAAAGCAGGTAAGGCAGCTGCTTCAGTCTTGGTGTCCAAAATAGAGCCGGTGGTCAGGGTGGCCCCATCCTCGCCCTGGTTTTAGGCCTTTTGTACAGTGCCTCACTTATTGAAAAAAGAGGGTGTTGAAAGCACTCCCCCCAGAGCAGAGTAAGGGTATCACGAGAGGGCCCAAGTTGGTCCTCCTTCTAGGTAAGTAACAGCCAACTCCAACCTCAGCACAGCAGGCAAACGGGCCCCCTCTTGGTGCAGTTGATTCCCCGAGTATAGAGCTCGGATATGGCGAGTCACAGGAAAACTCAGCTGCTGTGCTAGTGGAGGCACCAGTGTGGAAGGGATGCCCAGGGCTGTCCCCACCGGCTCTGCCAGGGAAAGGGTGGTTGGTATTCACTGGATATGAAAGGCCCACCACCAGCCTAAGGCAGGATGGGGTGAGTGACTTTGTCAGTCCCCACCCCAGGCTGTCTTTCAGGCGGGGGAAGGCAGAGCAGAGCAGTGGAGGGGTCTAGAACTAATATGCAAAGGCTCAGGCACCTGCTCCTGCAGCCTCCGTGCCCCCCAGTCCCCTAGGCTGTGCTGCTCTGTGTCAGGACAGGACTGAGGAAGGAGGCTGCCAGGGCCTGGCCTGGCCATAGCCAGGGGAGCGTGGGAGGGAGAAGTAGGGGCTCTCAGGAAAGAAACAGCAGGGACAGAGAGAAGGCCATGAGAGTATAGGAGAGTTCCCAAGATGGGGCAGGGCTGGCAAAGAACTGGGCCACGGCCACGTTGGGGTTGCACTGAGAGGGCTCGAACCACTTCTGCAGACACCGCCCACTGTTCCTGCGCTCAGGGCTGGCCTTGAAGGAGTTGCTCCAAATCTTCTCACACAAGTCAGCCGGGGTGGGAAAGTAATAGGGGAAAGGAAGGCAGCGGGACCTTTCAGGACAGCGGCTCCTCCCTGGAGGGATTAAGGCAGGGACAGCTTACCTCCCATTATTCCCAACCTCACACCCCCATCCTTGCCTTGGGGGACCATAGAAGGCTGGCACCTGCCCCTCCAGGTCAGGGACCTCCAGGGCCCTGCCCCCCACCTTCCTGGCTCTGTCAAGCACCACTCACCCCGGCTCCAGTCCCAGCCACCGAGCCAGTTGGATTTGCAAGTTCGGGATGTGCGGCAGTCTGCCCACCACTGCACGCAGTCCTCCTGGCAGAGGGGTACGTCCACAATCCGCTCTTCCTGCTCACATGGGGCCACCTGGTTGAGTAGCCAGAGACAAGAAATGAACAGTCGAAATCAGTGGCTACAATGGTACTCTTGTGCCAGGTACGATCTGAGCACACCCTCCTGTGGAGTCTTTAAGGGGTATTTTACCAATGAGAACAACGAAGCCAAGAGATTAAAAGTCTGTCCCAGGCTACGCAGCTTCTGTTCCTACAGACAGAAGATAGGCCCTCCTCCCACTGTTCTCCTCTGACCCGTCTCCTGACAGGGCCATTCTCCCGAGGCAGCTTCCTTCCATCCCTTTCCCAACAGTGGCCTCTGCCTCTGCTCGTGTCCACAGGGGACAGCATTAGTGGTTCCTGCTAGTGTCCTGGGACTCGGGCCCCTCAGGAGCAGGGCATAGCACAGAGGTGCCTCCCGCCTCCTCAGCCCAGTCTTCCCACCTGCTGGATCCAAGGCCCCAGGTTTGGGGAGCACTGATGGAAGCACTTGGCCTGGATGAAGTGCTTCTCACAATCGGGCATCATCAGTCCACAGTGAAGCAAGCTGAAGTTGTAGAGCAAGGCCTCCTCCAGGTGGGCTTCCCAGCTTGTGTTGGCCGTGCAGCAGGCATTGTCCTTCCAGGGGGTGCACTGAAGGTAGAAGCAGCAGCAGCAATAGGAATTTTGGGGTGGTGGGGGGTCAAGGCAGGGGGTTGATGAGTATCTAAGGTAGAGAGGAAAATGTGTCCCCTAGAAGAGGACCTGGGCAGATGCAATGCCTTTAGGCCAGCACCCCCTGTACAGAAGGAATGCTAACAATCTGTCAATAGATCCTCAAGGACACCTGCACACTGACCTCCCTGCCACAGGAAGGCTGCCACAGTCCCCAGAAGCATGACTTCCAGCATCTCCGCTCCTGAGGGGCAGCAGAGGAACCCCACGAGACCCGGGGGAATGTGGGGTTGCACTGAGTGGGAGGGCACTGTAGCTGTGAAGGGCTCAGTAAATGCCATGTAGGTGCCAGCTCTGCTTCTTCTCCCACATCCCTGTCAATTGCCTTTAGGAGCTGGGGGAGGAGATCTTAAGTCAAATGTTTCCCCGGGGCCTGTTGGTAGGAAGGCTAGAGAAAGAGGACTATGTTTGTTGGAATCTATGCTGAGCCAATGATGGGCCTCTGGAATCCCTATCTGCCCCTGCTCCCTGAGTGGCCAGGCAGCTCTGAGACAGGAACTTTCAATCACTCAGCAATTATGGTTTCAACAGGTCATAGTGTCCCTCTAGTGGGCTTTGCCCAAATTCCAACCTAAGAAACCAAACAAGTCAGGGTCGATGAGGGCTCAGAAACCATCTTGGCATTTCCCTGATTGGCGGAAGCAGCCCTCCTTGACCCCTGGACCAGGTGTGACCCCTATACCTCATCGTAGAGCTGGTCCTCTGGCCCAGGCTCCAGCTTGTGGTGCTTGGTCTTCATGCAGACATTGAGCCGCTTGTCCCCAGCCCAAATGGGCGTGACTATCCACAGTCCTAACAAGAGCTGCCACCACCACTCCATGGCCACTGCAGAGAGAGGACCCAGTCACTCATGTGACAGAGTAGACATCTGCTCTATTCTCTCCCCTATCCCAGGAGTGAGGGTGAGCTTCAAGGCTCTCCCAAGAGACCATGATGCTCTGGCTGCTCCTAGAACCTCTATCGGAGGCAGCATCCTAACATGTCAGGCAGGGGGAATAAGCCTTAGAGATCTGACACTCACTCCCAACAACTGCACACACTCGGAAGCTAAAGCTTAGAGAGGGGAAGAGTCCAGCCTGAGGAACTGGAGGGAACTTGCAGTGGACCCATCACGGTGAACTTGAAAAGCTTTGGCTTAGCCCAGTGGTTGGCAAACTCATTAGTCAACAGAGCCAAATATCAACAGTACAACGATTGAAATTTTTCTTGAGAGCCAAATTTTTAAAACTTAAACTTCTTCTAACACCACTTCTTCAAAATAGACTCGCACAGGCCATGGTATTTTGTGGAAGAGCCACACCCAAGGGGCCAAAGAGCCGCATGTGGCTCATGAGCCCCAATTTGCCGACCACAGGCCTGGCCCAAGTTTAGAATCTCAAATATTCCTGGTAGAGACCCCAACTCCACCTTCCAGGCTCGAACCTACGGCTGCTCTCTCTCCTCAGCACCAGTTTCAAGCATGGAGTATTTTTAAAGAACCAGGTAAAAAGAGGAAAGATACTGCGCTTCTAGTTTTTTGTTTTTTATTTGCATACTTACTTTCAAAGCAGGAACCACTCCCTCCTACCTCCAGAGATTCTGAGGCTGAGGAGACTCTATGGCCCGCCCATTTATTACCCACTCCAGTTCCTACTGCCCAGGTGCAGATGCGGAACTCCAGATGGCTCCAGTTAAGCAGCAACAGCATGGTCTTACCTAGTGTAGGGCCCTCCTATGGCTGGAGCCCCAGGTTTTCTGAGAAAGAGCTTTGCTTTCTCAGAGAAACGGAGGCCCCACAGAGTGAGATTCTGGGCTCTGTAGTCAGCCGCTGGATTCTGCTCTCAGCTCTGCTCCTTGCTAGCTGGACGCTGTGGAGAAAATGAATTCAACTCTTCAGGTGTCAGTTTTCATGTCTATAAAGGAGGCTGTTATAATGGGATTGTTGGGAAGAAGTGAAAAAGAAAGTTCATGAAAATGGCTTGGCATCATGCCTGACGAGAGTAAGTACTAATGATTTTTATTCCTATCTTGTTTTCCTTGGAAGCCTTTTTTTTTCTGCCCTGTTCCACCTGCCCCTTCATCTGCGTAGTTACCTGGGGTGGACTATCTGGGTTGTAACAGTAACCTTGACCTCTCTGCCCTCAGGAGCTGAGGTTCCTGTTGGAGAGCAGACCCAGCAGCACAGAGACACAGAGGAAAGTGAGGCTTTGGGAATTTAAATCTATGACCAAAGCCAAAACAAACAAACCCCAAAAAGTCCCTCCACAACCCATGTAATGGTCTCCCATAGCAGGCAGTGACTATCATCCTATGAAGTATAGCAGGCCATAAATAATGCTTTCTTAAACATTTTTATTATAGCATTGATGAAATGCTGTAGGAACTTAACTCTGGTTTATATCAATTAGCCTGTCGTAATTGGTTTCTTTATCCATCGTTTTGCATACGTTACAGTTTCCAAGGGCCTATTGATAATGCTATTGCATATGGTCTGGCTTACTCCTTACAACCACCCCTAAAATGAATGCTCTTCCTGTTTTATCCGGGGGGAAGCAAGCTCAGCCGAGTAGTGGCAGAGCTAGAATCTGAATTCAGGTAAACGACTCCATATTTGATGCACAAGGACCAGGTGAGGGGGAGATCTCTAGCTCTGGAAGGGTAGATGATGTCTGGGTCTCAGATGAAGTCTGTTTTTAAAGAGAGGCCCTGGCTCATGCCGCTCAGTTGTTTGGGCATCATCCCCCTTGCACCAAAAGATTACTAGTTTGATTGCCAGTCAGGCCAGCTGCCCAGGGTTGCAGGCCTGATCCCAGGTGGGGAGCATGCAAGAGGCAGCCAATTGATGTTTGGCTCTTATATCAATGGCTCTCTCTCTCTTCCTTACTTCCTCTCTCTCTAAAAATCAATAAAAATATTTAATCAGATTGTATGTTGGGAAGCATGTGTTGGCTTTATTTTGGGAGTAGTGATGGTTATTGCTAGGGTTTTTGGCCAGTGATATGGGCTGTGAAAGAAGTCACAACTAAAAAGAGAGATAAAGGAAGTGTGTTTTACTTCCCCCAAAGGGAAAGGGCTGGTGCATTGCTAATCAATAGAAGGGAAAAGAACAGTAGTGGCTCCCCCTTTTAAAGCCTTGGCTGCTGCTGATAGGTGAGAAGGAAAGGAGGAGGTTTTGGGAGCTGAAATTGATCAGACTTTGGGGGTGAGTTGGTGTGGGGGTTTGCTCTGTTTATTCTTTTTTTAAAAAAAATATATTTTATTGATTTTTTACAGAGAGGAAGGGAGAGAGATAGAGAGCTAGAAACGTCAATGAGAGAGAAACATCGACTAGCTGCCTCTTGCACACCCCCTACTGGGGATGTGCCTGCAACCAATGTACATGCCCTTGACCGGAATCGAACCTGGGACCTTTCAATCCGCAGACCGATGCTCTACCACTGAGCCAAACCAGCTTCGGCTGCTCTGTTTATTCTTCAGGAGAGAAACTGGGCAGGGGCAGATGTCCTAGAAAAGTATCTTAATATTTTTCCAAAGCTGCTAAAACATTCTTAGAGCAAAAGTTATAAAGAGTTCTTCAAAAGAGACTTGTTTGAAGGGAAGGGAACTGTCTACTAATTATCTCTGAGTTGTAAGAATAGCAGGGAGGAGGGGTATGCAAGACTGTAGCCTTGAAAGTAGCTTATCTTGTCCCTCAGTTTGAACAGAGGGGCTGTTAGAAACCAGAGGTGCTAACAATCTTGAGGTTTAATTATCAGGTGCTTCTCATAAGTTGTGAAAGACCACAGCAAAGTAAAAGAAAGGCCGCCCCTCCCTGCCCCCCTCCTGTCTTTACAATTACCAGCCAGGCTTCCATGTTCTTGCCTTAAACAGAGTTAGGAGTCTCCATTGTAGAGTCTGATGTCAGGTGGTAATGGCTCTCCTGCAGCATGATTTTCTTCCCACAAGCACACACTCTGCAGGGGAAATCAGGTGAACATCCTGTTCAAGTCCTCACAAATATAGGTAACCCTCAGACAACATGGGGGTGATTAAGGGAGCTGACACCATACCCCCCAGTCAAAAATCCACACATAACTTTGACTCCCTCACAATTTAACTACAGTCAGCCTTTCACATCCCCAGGTATAATCAACCACGAATGGAAACCAGTTTTTCCCTGTGTTTGGGAATCTGCAGTTGGGAGTGTGAAAATACTCCCAACTGATCTGTGTTTGGTTGAATCCAGGATAGGAAGGGCTAACTGTATTTATAGGAAAAAATCTGTGTGTAAGTGGACCTGGGCAATCCAAACCTGTGTCGTCCAAGGGTCATCTATACTCTGGAAACACTAAGGTTTGATGAGGAAAGAGAGTGTGGTTGAACATTACATGTCAGGTGGCTGTGGTTGTGCATGGAAGCAATTACTGGGATGGGAAACAGGTCCTCTGGTAAACATCCCTCACGTGGAAGGGAGAAGGAGGGGAGGGATTTGCTAACGGTCTCTAGAACAAGGCTGTAGGAAATGAACTAACATTATGGAGCCTGCCTCTCAGATGTCATCAGGGTGACATTTCCCCCCCACCCTCCCCCCCAAAAAAGGCTGGGTGCAGCCCCTGAGGAAAACTCATTTGTGCCTTATTGTGATTGAATCTTGCAGAGAAATCAGTTTTCTGACTGAAAAGCTGATAGAACAAGGCTGGCTGTGGATGAAGCTGCTGATCCCCAACAATTTTGTTAGAAAAATGAACCCACAGAGCAACCCGCTTGGGTCCCTTCCCTTCTGCAGCAGGGAGCTTTTCTGCAATAAAACTTTACTTTTGCCAAAACAAAAACAAAAACAAAAAACAACAACAAAAAAAACCCTCCACAAAAACAAAACAAAACATAGAATTATCAGGAGCAGAGCTACAGCTGCATCCAGAGGTCCTGGAGGAGGGGAAGGGGGTAGGCAGGCGAGCAGCAGCAGAAGGCAGAGGCTTGAGACCACAGCACATGGCTCTCCCTCTGTTCCCTTCTGCACAGAAGGTTGCCCGCAGTGCTGCTGCCGACTGAGTTTGAGAACAGACTGGAAGAGTGGAAAAGGAGTGCCAGTAGTCTCCTGGTAAGTCAGAGCCCAGCTGGAGGGGACATAGTGATTCAGTTTTTGTTTTTTATTAACTCTCACCTGAGGAAATATTTTTTCCCCTTGATTTTTAGAGAGAGTAGAAGGGAAAGAGGGGGAGGCAGAGAGAGCAAGCGAAACATCCACGAGAGAGAAACACATTGATTGGTTGCCTCCAGTACCTGACTAGACTGGGGTTAGGGATCAAACCTGCAACCCAGGCATGTGCCCTTTACTGGGAATGAAACCTACACCCTTTAATGTAAGGGCCCTGGCACTCTAACCGCTGAGCAACACTGGCCAGAATGCTGATTCAGAGTTCTTAGTAGGCCACATGAGTCCTTCTCTTCCCCAAATCTATTGATCATCCATAGCTCAACTTGTAGCTGGTTTGTATTGAGAGCAGGGGAAACAGGAGTATTGTTTATCCCCACCTGGTCCTTCCCTCCATATCTATCCCATCACCCAAGTGGTTGATTTACATTCCTAAATGCCTCTTGAGTTCAAATTCTTTTATCCTTGTTTCTTCCCCTACTGTCTGGACCATAATCATCTCTTGTCTTAATTAGGCAACAACCTCCCAACTGCCTGCCTTGTCCCCTTCTAACGCTTTATCCAAACAGCAGCCAGACTATTTTATTTCAGAATATTTGATCATGAAAAATTTCAAACTTAAGGAAAGTTGAGAGAAATTGACAATGGACCCACAACTTCGACGTTACTATTACCGTTTTAGTTTGTTTTCTTTGTCACATCTCTAG